TCAATTAACATTTTATTAATACTGTAATGTAATATTATTTAAATTTGACGAAATGAGAAGCTGATTAAATGGACTTTCAGTACTTCGCATATTATTAAGGTTTTTATTTCTTTAGTTCATTTATTTTAATCAAATATTCGCATAGCATTCACAACGACTACGGCCATCGTCGAACAATATCGAATATTCAGTATTATCTATGCATCGCATCGTGTATGTCTATGTCTATGTCTAGGACAATATAGTAATTAGAAGTTACGTAAGAATTGGATTATTTGGGAACGGAACTTGACTTTGTTGTTGCCAAAGATGATAGTAGTAATGCTTCCAAGAGATAAAGATTTTATTCTAACATAAAGTCCTGAATGTGCAATTTTTATAAAGCTACTTCGTATTGGGTCATACAAATTGTATGTCGTACGATTGCGTGCGATGCGGCGCGGCGCGGCGCGGCGCGGCGCGGCGCCTAGTTTCATCATAAATCAGCATTATTGAATTCAATTTATAAGAGTCGTCCAAACAGCGCGGCTGTTGATTCAGTTAGGGTCAGCGGCAAAGCTAACTCATGTGATATACATAAGTGCACTGGGAGATTCCTGTACTGTATATCAAACGTATTCAAAATTAATAAGTTACCGTGTTTTTGCGTGTCACCTGTTACGAAATCGGGTAAAGGGTCAGGATAAGTCCCCCGTTTCCCGCACCCCGCGGAGCCGCGCTGGAAGGGATCCCTATGCCGCGGACCCGAGGGTGAACGATACAACCTTTACCAGCGCACGGCAATTTGTTTAGATTTATAAAATCCGATTAATAGAAATCGACTGCATACAATAAGTAAACAAAGTGAACATGTGTTCGACAAATAAATTACTATATAATGACAATGAGACGAGAGGATTACCGTCGCCGGAGCGCAGCGAGGTGCATAAGTTGATGCTTCATTCTGTACTCGCTCTGGCATCGGTCATCGGCTGAGGTTAACCCTTTTGTTGTTTTACAGTTTTTCCTTGTGTAAATGTCACTTACCGATTGGTGGCAAAGGTTCCTAGACAATTTGATAGTGCGACTGTAACCGCTTGCAATCCTTGCAATTGCCAGGGAGGTCGCGCGTGACGCTGCGCTGGCGCTATATGGATTTAAAATAAAACGAGCGTCCACCCACACTCAAACTCTTTCTTGTTCTGTTTTTACTTTATTTTTACTTATCACTTTACTTCATAGTCTCCATCTAGAGTTAATAGAGCAAACGTTCGTATACGTGAGCGTGATATTTAGTAGGTGAGATAGCTGAGTAGCCCCCAATCTGCACCTTCACCTTCGCCGTGACTCATCACTTACATCCATGTCAATTATATAATATAACTTTGTAGTAGTTTACAAAAATAACAAAAGTAAGCAAAACAAAATTTTGCAACATATAAATACAAATGATTCAGTTAGCGAAGGGGCGATGGTGCACCATGCGGCGCCGAGCAGCACGTGTGCCCAGGAATGTGGGGCCAGGCAGGGGCCGCGCAGGGGCCGGGGCCGGCATGTCGCCGCTGCCGCGCAGCCGCGCGCGGAGGGTCTCGGCGCACAATGCTCTCCCCGCATATTGCCCGCCTCAATAACGGCACAATATTGCGGGGACGAGTATAATTAATAAATGCGTATCGGTGACAATAAAAAGAGTGTGTGTCAGGTGGCCGTCGGTCGGCAGGACGGTCGGGCGGCAGGGAGGGAGGTCGGGCCGACGCATCACGTGTAGGGATTAGTATTCGGCGACGGCACATCAACCCAGCTGTCCTGACTACTGTCACGCAGCCTCTTTAATATACCGTAATCTGAGGAAGACTATTTCAATTAAGTCAAAAAATAGCAACGACGGATGCGAGTGTCTTAGTGATTGGAAAGTTTATTATTGTATTTTTTTGTTGAACGATAAGCAATTGAGTGTTTACCATATGCTATACCCAGGGCTTCATGGATAATATGTGGAAAACAAAAACTTCAACACATAATTATAGGTCTGCAGTGAGTTTCCATTGAAGTGGTGAAACAATATTGTGCCTTACGCACCCAGAGACATTTCAGCAGATTTCGTAGCTGCTGTGTGGGGGGGGGGGGTTGGAA